GGGAGATCCACCCTACCAGCCAAAGTTGACAAAGCCAAGCATAATGTAAGCATTGGGCTTGTTTATTATTATTATTATTTTTTTTTTGATAAGATAATGGTTTTCATATAAGGCATTAAGAAGGTGCAAGGTTACTCCAGCTACATAAACTTGCTAAACATCTAGCCTTAAGTATGTAATTTGGAGTAGAAATGCCCTCAAAACATCTTGTGTTTCTCTCAGTCCATATACACCAGAAGAAACAAGCTGGGATCATCTTCCAAACTTCCCTGATGGATTTTCTGACCTTCCATGAACTCCAGCTAATCAATCCATCTTTTACACTTTCAGGCATAACCCATTTGAGAAACTGGTGTTTATTTACTTTGCTTCTCTTTTGCTTTTATGTTTTGAAAATCTCTTCAATCACTGCAAAGTTTCTTGAAGGAGAAAATGTATAGTCTCTGGTGTAGATGATACTTCACTAGTACCTCAGTGAAGGGCATAAACTGAGCATATATAAAAAGTATAAGTATATATTAGTGAAAACTTATTTAGGATGAATTTCAAATACTACAGGTTACCCGGCCAATTTTGGCCTAAACCGCAGTGGACCAGCATTGGATGAGTTGCTCATAACCCGTTGTCTACCTAACCACCTTCTTCCACCACACAATGTAACCCAGCCTACTCATTTGCCACCTCCACTGATAACATTCAGATCTATATGTCTCGCACTACCTCTTTTGCTGCATTTATAAACATAAAATGGATGATTTGCAGCTTGCTTGATTATTGACATTGACAACAGTCAAAATGATTAAAAATTTGCAGTTTGTGTTTGATATCTTTCTTCTTTTTGCACATTTTTGGTGCTAATATTAACTCCTCAAATCAGGTTTTGACATATGCTCAGCAGTCGAAGGAACAGGCCAGCATAGAACAAGACAAACTTGCCAAAAGAATCCAAGAGTTCAGGACACAAGCTGAGCTTAATCATATGCGGGGATCCAGTAACCTTGGTACTTCAACTAGTTCTATAGCCTCAAATGGTGTTGGTATGAATTCAGACAAAAATATAGAAGCAATTATGCAGTCCAGTGCAGAAGGAGCGGTAAGTAATATAACAATGTCATTTCTGTCTGTTATTTGTCAGTGTAGGGGTTGAGAGCTCTACAATAAATATAGCACTAGATTTAAGTATAGGAACCCCTGAAATGTCTCCTGATTTTGTAGATAAATTTTATTGTAAATACCAGACGTTAAAATCTGGATACTTTTTCTTACATTCTTCCAGGTCCAAACTATTAAGCAGGGATATCTTTTGAAAAGATCTTCCAGTTTGAGGGCAGATTGGAAGAGACGGTTCTTCGTACTTGACAGTCTTGGCAATTTATATTATTACAGGCTCAAGGGTGCACAGATGGTATTCTTAATTATTTTCACCTTCCTAATATAAGTTATTTTCATGCCTTTATTCTGCTTTATCTTTCTTTTTCAAAGTTTTTGTTAGACGCCTTGTGTGAATCAGTCCTACTTGTTTAGTGTTACTTTTCTGATTTTCAGTTGACATGAAAATCAAGGTCGTATAATTGAATCTTAAGTGCAATGATTAGTATAATAAGGTAAACTGGTAAAGTACAATCATTTGGTGGAAATTTTGGAATTATGTGGGAGAAAAACCTTAAGGCCAAATGTACGATGTTGCTGGTTCTTTATGACTTTCTCTAACATCTTCACGAGTAGGCTTACTTATGTGTGAACTCCTTGGATTGCTAAGAATATTATTTGTTTCAAAAACTGATGTTTGTGTAGAATTGGCAAGTCAACATGAATCTACTTTGACGAGAGAGAACGACTGAAATATGTCTATATTTGCTGATATAGATGTGGCCTACTAATGACTGTCTATAGTAGGTATACATTGTGCTCATTTTTTATATCTGAAAGGTAACCCTTTGCCACCTCAGTCAAAAGAGCATCTTTTAACTTGAAGTCTTTGATGTGATTCCATCATAGCAGGGTAAAGTTGTCTTTGAAACAATGATAATAATAAAGATCTGGTGTGCTGTAAGATTTTCTAGTTTTTGCTATTCTTCTTGTATGTGCGTATTTATGCCCTTTCTTAATAAAATCTTATTACTTGATCAAAAAGGAAAAAATATCTGGCACCTAATTTTTGGTTTAAAATTACCTTCTTTGTTCAAATCTGGAAAGTACTTTAAAGCTCTAAACTTTAGCTTTTTGAAAAGAAAATTTGGAACAAAACTTATACAAACTAATGGTACTTTATGGTATCCGAAGCACTTTGGAAAGCACTTATGGTTAATGTAAATATTACACTTTCCTCAACTGTGGTGGATTTTTTAAAACAAAGTGCTAGAGTATTTTAGCAGTAAAGTTATTTCCAGGACACTCTTTTGCTTACTCCTTCAAATTTATCTTATTGGCAGGGCTCCCCGTCATCTCATCCCTCCGGTGTTGACAACAATAGTAGTGTATTTGGCAGATTCCGGACAAGGTATAGGTCGTCATCCCTTGGAGAGGAGAATTTAGGCTGTCGTACTGTTGATCTTCATACTTCTACAATAAAACCTGATGCGGAGGACACAGACCTGAGGCTTTGCTTCAGAATTATTTCGCCATTAAAAACTTATACATTGCAGGTAAAGAATAGAATAGTCGATCTTTGTTCTCAATGCTAAATTGATAGTAATATGTCAATGCTAGAAGGGAAGAACATTTCAAAGAAGAAAGAGTTAGAGTAACTCAATATTTTAAACTGTTTTATTAGGAAGTTTGAGTTTTAAGTCTACTATTGCTTTGATGCATTAGATCTGTATCTGATTACTGAATGGAGGAATGCTACAATTTTTTGACGATATCGTGTAATTGTTTCATTTGGCTATCTATCTTTTAGTCAAACTGATTCAGGTTAACATTTTTTAAGCTTATGCATAGTATATTTTGTTTTAATCTTCATCAAGTAAATAAAAGATCTGTCAACTGTGCGTTTGTCAAGTCTTATGCTTTGACACTTTATAGTAATGGGCTGAACAATAGTCACAATTGGCTTCTTTATTTGCTTCAGCAGAAAGAACCACAAACGGTGCAATCTCTTCTGTAGTTGCACTAATGTGTTACCAGATTCTACAACACTTTAACAAGGGCTGATCCATCATGTATAACAATTACCCTTTATTTTCCACTGGCAGGCTGAAAGTGAAGCTGAAAGAGTTGACTGGATGAATAAAATCACCGGAGTGATTGCGTCCCTTTTGAATTCTCATCTACATAAGGTTGAATCTTGAAATCTAGTTTTCTGTACAAAATAATTTTCTGAAGTCATCTTGAGCGTCGTCATGTTTTTGCAGTTTGATCCTAGTAAAAATGACGTTGATAGTAGCAACGGTACCTATGCTGCTTCTTTAAATGTTCAAGGGGCTGTTAGTGGCGAAAATGCACTAGCTACCATGAGAGTCAATCAGGCCGATTCTGTTTCTAGGATTCTCAGAGAAGTTCCTGGAAATGACACGTGTGCTGACTGTGGTGCTTCAGAACCTGATTGGGCATCTCTAAATCTTGGTATCTTAATTTGCATAGAATGCTCGGGAATTCATCGGAACCTTGGTGTTCATATCTCAAAGGTACATATTTGTCAATATTGAAATTTCTTTTGTTCCTTTTGTCTACAAATATGTCTTATTTTTGCAACAAAAAATAGACCATTTTAGTTCATGGTGTTTGTTCAATTTTCTACTGGTCCACATGCATGTATATCTGCGAATATGATTTTTTGCATTACTTTTATGATGATCCATTATTAGTTCCGGAGGTTAGTAGCTATTGAATCTTTTCTGGAAATGTATTTTTAGTTAATAACTTTTTTGCAGTTGCTGCAAAGAAAACTGAAAGATCTATGGGCCTGTATTTATTCTTGAGATACTTATTATTTGCAGGTCAGGTCCATCACGTTAGATGTCAGGGTTTGGGAGCCTACCATCTTGGATCTATTTCGCACATTGGGTAATTCTTACTGTAACTCGGTGTGGGAGGAGCTGCTTCTACTTCCAAGTGGCAGGTATGTTCCTTTAGTTGATAACATACAAGAAAGGCATTCTTGCATGGTATAAATTTCTGTAGATCTTCGAGTTCGATCTTCGAGTTCAGATTTAATGTGAAAGGTCCTCCAGTCAGTCAAGAAAAGAAATGTTAAGAGATATGACAGATCATAAAATTCCCGCTTTACAGATAACAGAACTATCTATGTCTATACTTCTGGTCATTCTTCAATTGAGCTAGTTAATGCACATTCTATATTTCCATTACAATTTGACATTCTATCTGCGTCAGAATGCCTATCTCCTATTTCAGTACATTGTCGGAGAATTCATCTTTTGATAACAAATGTAAGAAACAAGTAGATAATGTTCCCGCGTGCCAGGATTATATACATGCATTTAGCTCTAATGATTTGTAAACTATGTTTTACTGGTATAACTCGTGTTGAATTATCAATTTGTTCAGATCAACAAATGTTGATTCTATTCAATCTGTTTCCAAGCCAAGCCCGAAAGATGGCTTTCATGAAAAGGAGAAGTACATTTTGGCAAAGGTATACTTTCTTGCATGTTTTAAGGACTTTCCTTCTCCATGTCATACATTTTCTCCCTTGTGCTAAGCCTGAAAACTCGGTTTACAGTTACTGAGATTTGATATAATCTCGAAGGAAATCATGTGAAAATACCTTAGTATGTGTTTAGGTGCTTGAGTTGTGCCCAAAACCCCTTTTGGGCGATTCATTTGCCCCTCCAATCACTATTGCTATACTTTTCCACATCAATACCTTCACTGTAGCTGCAAATCTTTAGCCTGGATCTGCTATATGCTATGCCACCGTTGTTCCATATCCCTGAATGTAGGTTCCTGGACATACATCATCTATCTGAACAAGGCTGCCCTCCGACATTAGGCCCACTATCCAGCACAGGCCAAATATTAGTTTAATTGTTTTTGCTCTATTACATTTGTTTAGTTCACCATTAAAACTTGAAATGAATTTAGTAGTTCATATCCATCTGTGTTGTTTTTTGCATAACACATCAAATGATTGAAATAGAGTTGAATTTTCATGTCAATGTGCCTGATACTGTTACTGGAAATATTTGTAACAGTAATTCGTTAAGTTACTAGAAGTATTTGTAACAGAAATTCTTTAAGTTAGTATCATTAACCAAACTAAGATGATCAATCATAAGAATTCCGTCACGGACAGTTCATATATTAAGTATATTAGTCTTTATAGTACAAATACTTGTACTAAAGTAAAAATTAATGGAGATAAATCTGACTCTTAAGTTACAATTAACCATATAGAAAATGTATACCATCAAAAATTAAAGCTATTAACGATTTGGATTTTGTCAGCTCATTTTCTTTAGCTTAACACTTTTTTGTATCAAAGCTGACTCTTTACCCCCACTGTTGTACTTCTTGCATCTTCTTGATGCCTATTTTATTAACTACTTCATCAAAAAAAAAAAAAAAAAAAANAGAAAATGTATATCATCAAAAATCAAAGCTCTTAACAATTTGGATTTTGTCAGCTTATTTGCTTTAGCTAAACATTTTTTGTATCAAAGCTGACTCTTTACCCCACTGTTGTACTTCTTGCATCTTCTTGATGCCTATTTTATTAACTACTACATCAAAAAAAAAAAAACAATCGCTGCTAGAAATGAGAATGTATGCAAAGTTTCTATGAATATTTGCGATATTAACTTGCTTCATGTTGTCCAGTATGTTGAAAAGCAGGTTGTGAATAAAGAAGCTCTTGCACCGTACAACAACAATCGTGCCACCAGCATCTGGGAAGCAGTTAGGAGTAATAATGTGAAGGAAGTCTATCGAATTATTGTAATGTCAGATGTGAATATAATCAACACTACCTATGATGAGGTCAAAGGTGCTAAAATATACCATGAAATTCATGAAAATGATTCAAAATTAGGCTTTGATGATTCCAAAAAGAAACATCAAAACCCAGCAGGCTGTCAGGACATCAAGCTTTGCCGTCAAGGATGTTCTTTGTTACATCTCGCATGCAACGATGACAGTCCAGTGATGCTTGAACTTCTTCTGCAATTTGGTGCAGATATAAATAGGCGTGATTTTCATGGAAGGACTCCTCTACAACATTGTATCTGCACGGGGAGACACCACTTGGCAAAATTTTTGCTTAGAAGGTGATATATTTAATTCAGTCATTTTTACGTAGCATGGTTTCTAGGCAATTTAATAATCTGACCTCTCAGCAACATATCTTTCTATTAGTTCTCCCAATATTTAATTTGGTTACATTATCTCAGCATTTAGATCTGTAGTTCTTTCTTACAGTTGGCTAAAATTATTTGAATTCATGACAAGATGACTTCCATGGTTCCGCATTAAACTGAATTCAAGATTATACTCTTTCTTGCTTTTAGTTACTATAAGCTTACCTCCATCATTTGTTCCTTCTCTTAGTTTTTGAAAAGGAACCATAATACTTCTGCTGTATTCATCTATGCGTGAACATATCATTTTAAATTCAGATCTAATGCTAATAACTTGTGTACCATTTTGGACATAATGTGGTAAAGTTGTCTTGAACCTAAACAAAGTATTGGCTGAATGCACGCAAGATTGACGGTGCTTTCTGGTTCTACTACTTTCAGCCAACCGACTTTGTATCACTAGTTTTCTAACATCCTAGTCTTCTTTGGGCAATAGACTTCCTAATCATCTATGTTAGTTGGACTGGGCTATGGCTGTTAGACAGGCATCAGAGTTGCCACAGCCTTTATATCAAGGATAGGCACGTGTGAGTAAAACACTAGATGCAGGTGATAGGATATGGCTGATAAGCATGAAAATTTAGGTTATATGCATATAATGTTTCACTATCTAGCCTCTTGACATAAAGAATGAACCTTCCTTTGGTACAAGAGGGACACAGTAATCTTAAGGTTAGGATTAGGGAAAAGTTCTGATTGTTAGTAAGTTCATATTGAGCAATTTATGTGCACTTTAACAAAAATCTACTACTTCGACTGTTCTGAGCTTAGAAAAATTCAAGTATCCAACTAATAAATTATCCTGTACTAGTGCCTATGTTATGTCATAACAGCATGATAAACAATAAAAAATAAAAGGTAATATAGCTTATCAATGATATTACTTTTGAAATTGTGTTTTGTACATATTTGTAAATTCTTCCTAAATCAAATCAATTCACTTTACATGTTAAGGTGACATATTGTTGTCTAACTAACAAATCTAAGTTGACCTCATTGAAGCTCAGAAGTGGCATGCGTATTTCCAGCTCAGCCTATACCAAGTAGCTTTTCACATAGTGGTTTATTTCAAGAAATTGTGTTCTACTTTAGCGACTTCTATAAGTTCATACTCTAGGGGAAAGTTCACATCCAGAGGACATGAAGCATGTAACTTTAAAATTTTGGCTAAGTAGTTAAGCAGCTATCCTTTTCTCATTTTCAATTTAGCTTTCACTTCACCTTAGCTCTCATAAAGTTTTTGATATTTTACATTCTCTACTAGCTCTCTTTTGTTACTGCTAGTACTCGTGGCTCCCAATTTCAAAGGGGTTGATGACTTGATGTTGAGCTTATGCTTTGTAAACCAAATATCGAACTCTTAAATTTTTCTGAATCTCATATTTATGCTTTGCCTGGCATGTATGTTTTCAGAGGTGCCCGTGCATCGATCAAGGATTACGGTGGACTCAGTGTGCTGGAAAGGGCCATGGAGATGGGTGGAATCAAAGATGAGGAGTTATTTGTCCTGCTTACCAAGAGTGAGTGAAATGGGCAATTTTTTTCAATTGGCAACTCCTCAGCTTCCAACTTCTTTAAATTGTAAAGCATGTTGTTCATTAAATGCTTACTATTTTCTCCTCTAATATTTGAAATTCAATTTGTCTCTCCCTCTCTCTGGTTTACGTTGTTGATGTTTGGTGAAGTTCCGAAAGAAACAAGAACCAGTGCAGTGTTCACAAATCCTTTTTTGACATTGTTAGTTTTTGAAACAACCATTCTAGATGTTAAGAGTAAAAAGTTGTAAACCTTCCTGAATGAAACTGGAAGTTTGCTTTTTCATCATTCTCTTTTATTTTCTTAATAATATTCAGAAGACATCTTCGTTGTTAACGTCCACTTAGGACATTCATATGCATGGTAAAGTACGTTCATCTACAACAATAACATACCCTCGACTCAGGAAAAAGTATGTCCATCTAAAGTTGTACAATTTCTTAGCAACTGGAAGTTCTGCTACTATCTTCATCTAATGTTTTCTATCAATTCTAAAACCCTCATGTTCTGATTTTTTACCTTTAAGTCCATATAATTACGTTGTTTAAATATTACCCAAGCACTTTGTTTTGTATATCTTATTTTAATTTAATAAGTTTTGTGGACAATAAAATGCTCATCAACTGTTGTAGCACTTCAATCAACAGGCAGGAGTTGCATCACGCAGCTCGATTGCAGTATGTGATATTTCATTTTTTACTCAAACGTTGTGCAAACGATTTAATATTTCTTTTGCAGAAAAATGACCAAGTTCTAAGTTCGAAACAAAACATTGAAATCGGGCGAAAAAGCAAGTAAGATAAAAAAAATTAAAATACACAAGCAGAGATGAAGCTTCATAGTACAAATGGGGTTCAATTGAATAATCTAGGAACTTTTGCTTGTGTTATATTACTAATTGGTAAAATTTGAGATTATGTAGGATTATATAAAAAAGATCCTACAACATCGATCTCGTATCAAATCAGAATCACTTTAGATATCTAAGTCGTATAAGTAAAGATAATTCTTGTACTAATCGGATAAAAGTGATTCTCTTTATATATATATATATATATAATTTATATAAATCTCAGCGACATAAAGTAAGTTTCTATTTAGTGCAATGGCAAACGTGCTTGCCTTAGAGGTAGGGCTGTTCAAAATCGAACCGTAACCGTTAACTGAATCGAAAAACGGCGAGACCAGAAGTCATGGTCCGATTAGTGATGACAAGATCACCCAACTCAATGATATGGAACAGAAACTACCATAGTGTTAGATATGAAGACAAAAATAAATTTAAAATAACCTATGATTCCTATTCCTATTCGCAAAGAGGGAATCTAGATGAAATCATGCAAGACTTTGTGCCTTTTGCCGTCCGATATGACATATTTAGGGCCCTCAAATCAAAACAAAATAAAGCTGAGTTTAGACATTGGCTTTCTGTATTATAAGATTCTGATGTTTTTGTCTCCCATCTTTTTTAAAATATTAATTAATTATTGGAATTTTTTCGTTCCTATACATTATTGAAAATTTTATTATTCTAAATGTTCATGTTTAGTAAATTACCCTACCTACACAAGTTTTGTTTACAAAATATATACATTCCACCTGAAAAGACTCCCAATCCATTATTAGTGCCTTCAATTAAGGGATTTAGTTACACTATTTTTTTTTCTCCTCTTCTCTTTCCATATTTTTCAACAATTGTAAACTTAGTTTCATGATAAATCCTCACATTTCAGTAAACTTATTTGTTCATGAACTGATTGCTAAATAACTGTAAGTATTACATATATTCCACAGATGCTAGCGGCATGATAATATCGTAAATGTAAGATCATAAAAAAAATAAACTAAACAATAGCCTAAATAACTATTTCTTCAAGTGTTGATTAATTTCCTTTGTTTTTTCTTCTTGTCTGCGACGAAAGTTGTATTTTTTGGTTAGAATTCTGTAAATTTCAATTTCACCTTCTATCAGGATGCTTTCTAGCAACTTGGATCAAGCTTCTGTAAATTTCAATTTTAATACTTATCTACAACTTGGATGAAGCTTCTGTAAATTTCAATTTCAATACTTATCTACAACTTAGATCAAAATATATACAATCCACCTTAAAAATAAATTTCATACAACTAATTATATATTATACAATTTATTTACAACTTTCACACATTATTTTTACCTAGTTAAATACAATTATAATAACATACAACTTAAATACAAATTTTATACAATATGTCTTTTGTATCTGATTTATACATAGTAAAAATAAATTTCATACAACTAATTATATATTATACAACTTATTTACAATTTTCATACATTATTTCTACTCAATTATATACAACTATAATATCATACAACTTAAATATAATTTTTATACAATGTTGTTCAACTTTCATACAATAGTTAAATAAATAAAAGAAAAATATATAAACAATATAATACAATTTTTCTACAATTTCTGCAGTATACTGTATGTCATTTCTTCAATATGAAATTCAGCCAAAACCAAGTCTAATCTTCACCAAAACCCCTCAAAATTGAGATATAAACTCCAAATCATATTCCCAATTATTTGCAACAACATCCAATCCAAACAAAAAATGATTTTTAAAAACCCAAATTCGAATTCAAAGTTTCAAAGCTTTTTAATGGCTGTCAATGGTGGAATTGGTGCTCTCTTTTCCTTTGCTTTATATTATTGAAATTAGGGATTGAGAGATAGAGAGAGACATAGAGAGAATTCTCAATTCTTTGCAACAACATCCAATTCAAACAAACAATGTCTTTTGAAAACCCAAATTCGAATTCAAAGCTTCAAAGCTTTTTAATGGTTGTCAATGGTGGAATTGATATTCTTTTGTGCAGGATACGTGGGGGAGGGAGGTGGGATGTGGAGAGAGAAACGTGGGTGAATGGAAGATATGTTAGAGTAATTTTAAGACACTAATTATTATCATTAATTCTCTTAAAATGGTAATTGGGTATATAAAATGTAACTATAGTAAAACTTGAGTAGGGAGGGTAATATAGTTTCATATAGTGTATATGAATATAAAATTCCTTAATGTTATTTGACTTCAAATATTTATTAGTATAACACAAAGCAGCCCATAAAGTTCTCTTTTAGCTCCACTCGTGGATGTAATTTTTAAATTTTGGAATGTATTCCCAAAAGAACATGACAAGATGTTACTCCAAAAAAGTAGGTACCTCCCCCACCTATCTATATATAGTAATATTATTTATATGGATTTACTATAGTTGTATATTTGGGTGTTATATAAAATTATATTCCATTGCAAATGGTATGTTTTGTTTCTTAATTTAGAGTTGATGTGATCAAGTTTTAAAGTAAGATTAGATATTAACCATACAAAATGTAAATACAAAGGGTCGATATAGTCACTTGATTCAATTATATATGTATTTAATGAACCACTATAGTCCTATGTGATCCAGATTTAGTGTGAAAATAGCACGGGTTAACCAGTTATCGAACTGGTAATTGAAAAATAATCAGCGTTTACAAAGTCATTGAAAAATAGCCATTATTTTGCTGAAACGCGGAAAGTTCCAGCATAATATGTTAGATTATGGAGCTCCTGCATATAAACTTCCAGCATATTATGTTGGAACTCCAACACAAGAAAAGTTCTAGCATAATATGATGGATTATGGAGCTCATGCGTATAAACTTCCAGCATATTATGTTGGAACTCCAGCATAAGGAAAGTTCCAACATAATATGATGGATTATGGAGCTCATGTGTATAAACTTCCAGCATATTATGTTGGAACTCCAACACGTTATGCTGGAATCTCATACGTAAAAAATTCGAACTCGAACTCCAGCATATTATGCTGGAATTTTTTCGGATTTTTAAAGGTGTTTTTGTTCAGATTTTATCTTTACATGAAAAAATGGCTAAATTTCGATTAGTTTTAAAACTGTGACTATTTTTCAATTGCTAGTTATAAATTTGACTATTTCTGAATTTTTTCTGGACTTAGTCGATCCTAATGCGGGCATCGGGAATCGAATGGAAAATCAAAAAAATATATCGTCATATACAAATATTCTGATCTGCAAAGAGGGGCATTACATATATTAAATATTCACTTTGTACCTGTTCTTGCCGCCCTACAAGAAAGGTTAGGGATTATAGGGTATATCTTAGGCCTCAGAATCAATACTCGATAATGCTGCCTTTAGATAATGGCTTTCCTTATTCAGAGATTATGATGTTTTGTTTATTTTTTTCATTATAGTTAATACAGTAGTTGACCATAATTTTTAAATTAAATACAAAGTTATTACATAAAGTTCTTTTTCAGTTCCTCTCGTGAATGCAATTTTTAAATGGTCCAAGTTGCGATGTATTCCCAGAGGAACTATGATAAAACGATTCTTCCAAAAAATAGCGTCCTCCTGGACACTTCTCTCTCTCTCTCTATATACCACAGGAAGTAAGTTTTTCAGAAACGATTTTCTGTGACGATTACTATAATCGCCACTAATAGTTTATATATGTCACTTTTCTGAGTAGCAACTTACCTAAAATTTATATATTTACAGTTTTCAATGACGGCTTTCTGTGGCGATCACTTTAGTAGCCATTATAAGTTGTATATATGTTGCTTCTCGGAGTAGCGCTCTACCAAAAATCTGTATATCCACCACAGGAAATAACATTTTCAATGACGACTCTCTTTGGTAACCATTATATTCGTCATTAAAAGTGTTGCTATATGCTGTTTTCCGAAGAAGAATTTTCAGTGACAACTTTTAGTGGCCGCTCCGGTGGTCGCCACTAAAAGTTGTGCCTTATGTTGCCTATATAATAGTAGCGACTTACCAATACACGTTTCAGTGACGACTTTTCGGCAACTACAGTCGCAACTAAAAGTGTTGCCATAAACTAACGGTCTACCTAAAATCTATATATTCACGTTTTAGTGACCACTGTTACGGCGATTATGTAGTCGTCACTAAAGGTTTTGTCATATTTCGCACCTACCCGAAACTACATATACACAATTCTAGTGATGACTTTTAGTGGCGACTCCTTTTATCGCCATAAAAAGGATTCGCCACTAAAAGTGATACAATGTTGCCTCTCAAACTGGCTACTGCCTAAAATCGAAATGTTGACCTTTTAGTGACGACGTTCTGTGGCGATTTAAGGTGTCGCCACTAAATATCGTCACTAAAACCTTATCACCAAATGGCAATACCGTGTGCGTGAGTGTGTTGATGTGATTAATTGGTAAAGTAAAACTAAAATAT